CGCAACCTTCTCACGGCAAGGTGGATTGGAAGTGGGCGATAGAGAAATTGGTCGACCAGCTATATGACCCCGAGGTAGAGGTCTGCCGGACCGCGGTTAAGATCCTCGAGAAGGCGTGCAATAAGAAGGCATATCTGGAGTACGTCGTCCAATGTCGTCCAACGATGGACCATCTTGGAGAAATCGGCGCCCCTCTCCTCCTTCGGTTCTTGTCCTCCTCAATCGGCTACCACTACCTCGACGGTGTTGACTATATCAGCAACGAGATGGATGATTGGTTCCTCGGCCGGAACGACTCGTATGTTGGTGTTATTGAGACCAGTCTGGCGAAGGCGTTCCTCGAGAACCCGGAAGAACACCAAAACCGGATGAACATGGTGGACGAAGCTCAAGCAGAAGCCGAGCCAGAGAACCACATTCCGCCACACTTTTACCGCGAGCTTGCACGCACACAAGAGGGCTGCAAACTGCTGAGTGACAAGGGGCATTTTGCAGAGTTTGCCAGCACTATCAAGGAATACGGGATGCAGTCGGAGGATCCTGAGCTCATGCTCAAAGTCAAAGCATCTATGTGGGCTGTTGGCAACGTAGGGTCAATGGAGCTGGGGGCTCCCTTCATTGAGTCTTGCGATGTCGTGGAGGACATTGTCAAGATCGCCGAAGAGCACGAGGTGATGAGCTTGCGAGGTACAGCCTTCTTCGTGCTGGGACTGATCTCAAGATCGGCGCACGGTCTTGAGATCCTCTCGGAATGCGGATGGGACTCCAACTTGTCCCCTAGGGGGGAATCGTTGGGCTTCTGCATCCCGAACGACCTGACCAAGTTCTTCTCTTTCAAGCCTTGGAAGCATGCCATTGCGTCCAAGATCGCGCTCCCCAACACGCAGAAGACTTTTTTGGTTCCGCCACCTCCCACCGAAGCTCGCCCGCCCCTGGAGAAGGAGGAATTACCAGCCTTCACCGACGAGGTTGCCACTAACCAACGAATTCTCGACTTGGTTGTTGACCTTGGCAACATGGTTCTCTACAAGCGCGCTATGGGCGAGCTGATGCAGATCCGGCAGCACAAGGTGGCGGGCTTTAGGTCACCAAAGATGTTCAAGCGGATCATGACGATGCTTGAGTACAATCACTACCGCCTACCAATTAGGCGGATGGTGATAGAAATGTTCGACAAGAACGTTCTTCGAAGAATCGTGTTCGATGAGGACAGCGACAGCGACGACGAAGACGACGAGGATGAGGAAGCAGAGGAAGAAGAAAATGGGTCTTCTTCTGGGGATGAGAATCGCACTGAGAGGCAGAGGAGCATCTCAGACCCGTCCGAATTGGAGAAGGACAACCATCAGCCGCGGGCAGAGCGATCGGACAGTCTGAGTTCGGATCAGACGGATGACTTTGCGGAGACGGCGTGAAGCTACGTCGTTGTACTATAGAACCGCAAAGTTTCACGGGGGACTTCGCATATGGAGGGAAATGAGGTGGATTTGAAGCTGCGTCGGTGGCACCCATGATGAGGCGTTTTGTTACTATTGGTCTTTTTTGTACTATATCTCGGGATTTTGGGGGATGGATACGTCGAACTGGCCGAGATTCAGGCCAAGCACAGAGAAGTTCTCTGGGAAATCACGAAATGTCCATTTGGGAGCGAGCAATGGATAGGATGGAGTCGGGCGGCCATCTGCGTAGCGATTCCCGGGGAGCTGGGTGTCGGCAGGAAGGCAATTCAAAAGTCACTGGTTCACTCATCTCGTTATATTGTGCACATGACATCAGGGCCTTGATTGAAACCCAAAATATCGTGGGGAGACGCGAAAATAGGGCGCGGGAAGGCGCGAAGATAGGGCGCGGGAAGGGACTGCGTGCTCTGGAGTACCTTACCTCACAAAACTTGGTGACTGCCCCGCCCCCACCTTGAGTGACATCTACGAGCCACCACGGCCTCCGACGCCAACCGACCCGGGCGGGTGCCTGCTTCGGAGCTTCAAGTAATATCGTCTGCCGTTGCGGTTCTCGATCACAACCTTAAACTTCCCCAGGATTTTCATAATCGGTTTCCGCGAAGCAAGCATGGTCTCTGGGCGAGTACTGGTCATCGCCGGCTCGGATAGCTCCGGTGGAGCGTGAGTAATCACCCAAGATTTTCCCCGTCCTTAGAGCAAAGTTCACTGACGTGATGCTGTATGGTTCGCAGCGGGCTAGAGGCAGACCAGAAGGTCATCGCGGCTCATGGGTGCTATGCCATGACGGCCACGACCGCTCTCACCGCGCAGGACACCACGGGAGTGCACGACATTCACCATGTGCCGCAGGACTTCCTGGTCAAGCAGATTGATGCCTGCGTGAACGACATCGGCGTCGACGTCGTCAAGACTGGCAAGTTGCGCCTTTCCACCCTTCGATTTTCGATGTCTGAGGCTCTTTTCTCACGGAGCTGCATTGGCTGACGAAGGGCGGACTTGTAGGTATGCTGGCTTCGCCTGCCACGATTGGGACCGTCGTCGAGGCTCTGAAGAGGCATCGCGTGCCGAAGATTGTTGTCGACCCCGTCATGATTGCGACCAGCGGCGCGGAGCTTCTCCCGAGAGATGCCGTTGCCGAGCTGCTTGAGGGGTTGTTGAAGATCACGACGGTTCTTACGCCGAACATCCCCGAGGCCAAGTTGCTTCTGCAGGATGCTGGGTTTGAGGGCGCCGAGGTTGCTTCCGTGGCGGATCTGGAGGAGATGGCGCGAAAGGTGAAGGGTCTTGGGCCCGAGTGGGTGCTTGTCAAGGGCGGGCATGCGCCGTTCAAGGCGGACTTCACCGTTGCGAAGACGGAGGAAGAGAAGAAGGTTGTTGTGGATGTGTTGTATGGCGAGGAAGGGTTTGTGAGGATCGAGAGCCCGTATCAGGCGTCGAAAGACACGCATGGGACGGGCTGCTCGCTTGCATGTGAGTTTTCTTTTTGAAATGTTGTCTGAAGAGTGATACTGATGGGTTGCAGCTGCCATTGCGTCGGGCCTTGCAAAGGGGTTGAGCGTACCTGAAGCTGCGAGGGCTGGGGTGAGGTACATTGAGGCTGCGATCCGGACGGCGCCTGGGTTCGGAAAGGGGCATGGGCCTTTGAATCACTTTCACTCCATTCAGACTCTGCCTTTTGCGCCGTGGGTTACCTCTTCCGTCTCGGTGGTGACTTCAACTGACAATATACAGGGGACGGTTCATCGAGTACATGCTAGCAAGGCCTGATGTCAAGGACGTATGGTCAGAGTTTGTGTACCATCCCTTCGTTATGGCTATGGGTGATGGGACGTTACCTTTGGAGTCATTCAAGAAGTATCTTATCCAGGATTACCTCTATCTGGTTTGTGATGTTTCCCCTCCTCATTGAATCCTTGCTGACTTGGGTAGGTTCATTTCGCCAGAGCCAACTCCTTGGCATCTTACAAGGCGAAGAATATTGCGGACATCTCAGCAGGTGCCACCATTGTCAGCCATATCGCCCGCGAGATGTCTCTGCACATCGATTACTGCAAGGGCTTCGGAATCACAGTGCCTGAAATTGAGTCCACCGAAGAGCACCAAGCATGCACGGCTTACACCCGCTACGTCCTCGATGTCGGACAAAGCGAAGACTGGATCGCCCTACAGATGGCATTGGCTCCTTGTCTATTGGGCTACGGTGCCGTGGCCAAACAGCTACACGGCGATGTCAATACGAAACGGGACGACAACACGTACTGGAAGTGGATCGAGAATTATGTGGCCGATGACTACGTCCAGGCCGTGAAGACGGGCTATGAGTTGATTGAGAGACATGCCGTTTTGCAAAGTCCTTCCAGCATAGAACGTCTGATCAAGATATTTATTCATGGAACCAAGGTAAGCCCTGCAGAAGATGAGGCTTCCAGCCCGTAGCTGACCCACGAACAGATGGAAATCGGCTTTTGGGAAATGTTCCCTTACCGATGATAAGCAAGACAACCCGGATGGGTTGGTTCATGAATTCTATAGAGTACACAGGAAGAGGGGCCGTTCAACAAAGACTAGACTAGAATTCAAAACGTCGGCAAGAATCTCTCCGACGGCATTGTTCAAACAGCTCGTATTGATGTGGAGGATATTGAGGTCCGGCTGCTGGCGTCATTCGCAGTCTCAAACGGCCTCATACACTCCGCCCTGCTAGAAAAGAAGGTAGTCCAGGCGGGTCAGCTGGGACTCGGGCCAGAAAGCCAAGCACCGTTGTGCTCTTCAGGTATCTGTCGTCCGATGGAATACCGCATATTCTCTTTCCTTGACAGCCCAGCTCGGGTGTGCATGCCGCAGCATTACGGACGCCAAACACTGAGAGAAGAAAGTGCTTCCCTGCTTGGCATATGTAACTCGAAATGAGGCCAGATGGTTTCCAATCACTCGCAGCTGTTCCCGCAGACAGCGCGCAAATTCTGAGGGAATGGATACGTCGTCCAAACCTCCCAGGTGAGAGAGAGTCATGGGTCATGTTGCAAAGTACGAAGGTGCCTTATCGCGAGTCAGATCCACCGTTACCTAATCATTCCGATAAGAAGGAAGCGGGTCCCACGTGCAGCAGTTCTGCAGGGTTGCATCCACCCCGAAAGGCAGTCTCAGTCCGGCGGTAGGAGGTACGTATCCTTTTGCCTTACCTTAGCAAGCAAAATTGCAAGGTCCCTACTGGCAGCGCCTGCCTGTCGCCGCTGAAAAGTTTTGGCAGCGAGGAAAAAAATTCCTACCCCAGCAAAACGCCTTGCGCACCCAAAACCTTCCATCCATCCATCCTGCTCTTTTATTTTTCTTCCTTCCCTTCTGCATCCCTCTCCCTCTCCCATCACAAACTCCCATCTCACGCAACCAACTCTCTTTTCGGTTCGGTCCAGAAAAGAGCTCTACCTGCGTGCTCTTCCCATCCACGGTCTTTCTTTCTGCCATTTGACATCGCTTCATACGCGAACCCATCGACAAACAAGCTTCTAGCGCGTTCACTGCCTCTCTAGCACAAACATGTCCTACGGCGGCGGATACGGTGGTGGTGGCCAGGGCGGCTACGGAGGAGGTCGTGGAGGCGGTTACGGCGGTGGTCGTGATCGCGGCGACAGAGGTGATCGCGGTGGTTACGGCGGCGGTGGCTACTCCAACGGGTAAGTTTTGATTGATTTCTCTCCTCCCCTTTTGTTCCGACAAAGTCGTTTCGCGAGGCTAGGCTACTGGGGGCTTGGCGCAACACAACACGATGTGACGACCGCCTGTAACCAACCTGAAGCAACCTCGATACGACAGCACGCGGACGTCGGCATTTCGCGTCGTCTCAAGCACATTATCAGAATCATTTTGCTGACTTTTTCCTTACAGAAACGGCTACGGTGGCGGCGGTGGTGGTTACGGCGGCGGCGGCGGTGACCGCATGAACAACCTTGGCGCCGGTCTTCGCCAGCAAGAATGGGGTCAGTATTCATCATCACAGTATGCCACAGAACGATTTCCTAACCCTTGCCGAATAGATTTTAACTCTCTCCCGAAATTCGAGAAGTCCTTCTACAAGGAGCACGAGGAGGTTGCCACCCGCAGCCCGGCCGAGGTCGACTCTTTCCGCCGCAAGCACCAGATGACCATTGCTGGCAACGATGTTCCCAAGCCCGTCGAGACCTTTGACGAGGCCGGTTTCCCCAGATACGTGATGGACGAGGTCAAGGCCCAGGGCTTCCCCGCGCCTACCGCCATTCAGTCTCAGGGCTGGCCTATGGCTCTGTCCGGTCGCGACGTCGTCGGTATTGCCGAGACGGGTTCCGGAAAGACCCTCACCTACTGCTTGCCCGCTATCGTCCACATTAACGCCCAGCCCCTGCTGGCCCCCGGCGATGGTCCTATCGTCCTCATTCTTGCTCCTACTCGTGAGCTTGCTGTCCAGATTCAGCAGGAGATTTCCAAGTTCGGAAAGTCTTCCCGCATTCGCAACACCTGCGTCTACGGCGGTGTCCCCAAGGGACCTCAGATCCGCGATCTCTCCAGAGGAGTCGAGGTCTGCATTGCCACCCCCGGACGTCTGATTGACATGCTTGAGGCTGGCAAGACCAACCTGCGTCGTGTTACTTACCTGGTTCTCGACGAGGCTGATCGCATGCTGGACATGGGTTTCGAGCCCCAGATTCGCAAGATCATCGGCCAGATTCGCCCTGACCGTCAGACCCTCATGTGGTCCGCTACTTGGCCCAAGGAGGTCCGCGCCCTTGCCTCCGACTTCCTTACCGACTTCATTCAGGTCAACATCGGCTCCATGGAGCTCGCGGCCAACCACCGCATTACCCAGATCGTCGAGGTCGTTTCCGAGAGCGAGAAGCGCGACCGCATGATCAAGCACCTGGAGAAGGTCATGGACAACAAGGAGAACAAGATCCTCATCTTCGTCGGCACCAAGCGTGTCGCTGACGACATCACCCGCTTCCTTCGTCAGGACGGATGGCCTGCTTTGTGTACGTTTTACCCTTTGCCTTCGCCTGATCAACAGCTAACAACTTCGCAGCTATCCACGGTGACAAGCAGCAAAACGAGCGTGACTGGGTCCTTGACCAGTTCAAGACGGGCAAGAGCCCTATCATGGTGGCTACCGACGTCGCGTCGCGTGGTATTGGTGAGTATCAGAACCCCCCAACCCTCATGGCAACTTCCAGCAGCCTTGCGCTGTACTTTACTCTTATGTCTAGGGGCTCTCTTGATTGCGCAATTTTGCCTGATGCATTCGTGTCTCCATGGTTCTCTCTGCCTCTGAGCGGAGTCTTGGTCTGGTGTGTAGCCTTTGGCTTGCTATACTCGCTTTCCCACTCTTGTGCCTGCCTTTTGCCAATGGTACAAGCGTGGATACGGCATATCTTGATTCCATCAAGCTGTCCCCAAGATTCCCCAAGCCCGAGGACCCGGTACACTGAACTTTCCAGGATGGCATTTGACGCATACAGACTGCCCCGTCTCCGACGGAGTGAAAGACAGCCTGATATAATTATCAAACATGTCTGGTTCCATGCTGGAACGTTGCTATACCCACCGTGAGGCGTCTGCTAACCCTTCTAATAAGATGTTCGCAACATTACTCACGTGCTGAACTACGACTACCCCAACAACTCGGAGGACTACATCCACCGTATCGGTCGTACGGGTCGTGCCGGTGCCAAGGGTACCGCCATTACCCTCTTCACCACTGACAGTCAGTATCTTCCTTGTCTGGTATTCTGACCCAATCATGCTAACAACTTTGCAGACTCCAAGCAGGCTCGTGACCTTGTCAACGTGCTGAGAGAAGCGCGCCAAGAGATCGACCCTCGTCTCGCAGAGATGACCCGCTTCGGAGGTGGTGGTGGCGGTCGCTATGGCGGCTGGGGCCGCGGACGTGGTGGCGGTGGTGGTAGAAGTATGTTTATCCTCACTCTATGGTTTCGACGGCTATGCTAACAGCCTTTTCACAGACAACAACGCCAACAACGCCCCCCTTGGTGGCGCCCGACGCTGGTAAGGACTTCGCCCGATGGCGAGGTGATTGATTATCCATGCGGCGGCATCTTGCGCTTTCCAATGCAAAATCGGCGTTCACGTAGACGGGGATTTTAGACGCGAGGTACCCCGGACACGCCCATGTGTCCACGCAGTCGGTATCTTTTTCAAGGCTTTTCATTTCCTTAGTGTTTCTTTTATTTGGGCCCATATCGGCTTTGGGTTTGTTTGCGATTATTTCTTCAGGCATGGCCAAAACGTGTATCAGGTTGAACAAAATTAGAGAGGGAACGAGGACGACCACAACGAAGAATGCCGAGAGAGGAACAGCATTAGAGACCCCTCCGTTGGGTCCAGTGACTTTTGACGCTCTTTCCACGAGCAAAAGATTGGGTTGGCTCTGAAGTCGAGCAGTATTGATAGATGACTGTATGCCAGGCAAAGCTCGCCGTGAGGGCGGTATGCTGCTAGGTAGTAATAGGACAATCATCCAACGAACTGCATTTGGAAATTGTGTGATGTCCATATCTTCTTTCCAATTGTGAAGATGCTTCCGCGATACATAAGGCCTCGGAAGCCCCGATTGTGAAGGCGTATGTTAGGTTGACATTGTCTTCCAAGACGTCGATGGAGGGAGGTTGAGGCACGATACGTTCCCCTGGGCCAACGCTGAAGCATTCGATGTTGCTGCCACTTTGCTGTAATGGGCACGTAAGAACTTGTACTACTTTGGTTCTTTTCCCATTTTGTTTCTTTTTCGAACTGTCTGGTCTCGTGTCCTGATTATGCTGTATCCCGAACCTGCGCCATTTCCACGGGTTTCCTAGCCTTTCGACCGTCCGCGAACGAAGAGAAAGGTTTAATCCAAGGCAGTCCTGTTACCGTCATGTCTGGCCTTTTTTTTCTGACAGCGGGAAAGTCTTTATTTAGGTCCTGTCCTGCCAGTGGTGCGTCCAGTGGCCTCGGTCATCGAGACCTTTACGTCACAAATCCTTCTTGACTGTCCGCTCAGATCCGCCTTCCTGCCCGCCCTACTGAAGCCTGGTGATTGCATCCTGATTACAATGAGTCTAAAGCGCTTATCTTGGAGTACATCCGCGAAGTTGGGGCTCGAACTGAAGCAGGGCGTCCACACGATTGGCAGTCTTGCCGTGGCGGATCGGTCTCTCTCCACCGCCGTATACAATTCAAGCCCAAATACATACTATAAAGGAGATATATTGTGGTTTTCAGACAGTATTAGAACAGGAACCAATGTAACCAGGGTTCTTTGGTTGGAACTGGGCGGTGAGATTTGCTAACGTGACATGGCGCAAGTCATGATCGTTGCTGGACGATGCCACGTCAAACCTGAGCGGTCCTCCATCAAGTGGAACTGTCCTACCAGTTTGTGATGTGTATCCTCGATGTATAATCTCGCAATAAAAAAGCCCTCGGATGAAAACTTATCCAAGCCGCCCTTGATTAGGACTTGAGGAACAACCACAGGTATTCTGAGGAGGGCCAAGTAACCTCGATCATGATCGATATGACGCCATGGCGTGCAGTTTTGTGGTTTTGATTTGGCGGTTTCTTCAGTTCAGGGGCATGGAGGTGAATATTTAAAGCTGCGCAGTAGCACCAAAAGCCAGCAACGCTGGGTCACCGACGTCTCCCAGGTGAGTCTATATATTGAAGGATTGATGTTGTTTACCAAACGTTCCCATCAGACAATTTTTTTTTTTTTTTTTTTTTTTCTTTCGCAAAGAAGATGAAGAAGCAAGCCTGGTGAGATGGAAGGGAGAGTACTGGTATTATCACCAAGTCGTTGTAATAGTAAGAACCGCCACCCTCTTGGGTGCTGCATCGCAGAGATCACTATCCCTTTCGCGTAGTCGAAACAAATACTTTCCAAACGACAGCAATGACGCAAGACAGTTGAGTCGTCTTCGACTTTTCCAAGATCGTTTCGAGAGTTTGAGACTCTGGATCTGGGCCCCAAGTTGCCGTAATATCTAACTCCAGCATACATTGCCCGGCAAATTTTCAATTTTGGCTTGTTCTTCCCATGAAAACTGCAGCCTCACGTATTTGTACTACGAAGTGAGAATCCTTCCAGCGACCTTCAAGTTCCAAGCTAAACCCCATGCCAAGACGCAATGGAGGTTGGAGCTCAACGCTGCTGTCAATTCAGAAGCGGCTCAGCGGTGTCAGAAAGGAACAAGACGCCATAACAAGTCTTTCGGCGGTGCTTTAGATAACCCACGCGTACATTGAAATCGAAGACTCAGCGCGATTGTTGTCGAGTAACTCTTCGTGGCCAAGAAGTAAAATTGTTGATTTGGACGTCACACAGTAGCAGGATGGAAGGCCACGAAGTAGGGCCATAGAGGCAGCCGAAGAGTGAGAGAGACAGGCGCTGCTTCTCACCGTCTCTGGCGTATTGCCATACTAGTCTCCTGATATGCGTGAAATCCTTGGTGTGTAACGAGCAAAGATGTGAGGGCAACGGCCAGTCAGCTCTCGGGCACAGACAAGTTGTGGTCAGCCAAGTGATAGCACCAGAGCCTTGTAGAATCATTGGTCACCGTTCAAGAAATCACCAGCAACCTCTCAGCGCAGGTACATATAGCCTGGTCGGGTCTCGAAACAGTCCACCTTACCACTAAGAGAGGGGCGGATTCGCCTTTCTTCATGGCTGGGGCTTCTTTTGCAGGTAGCCGTCTGATCAATAGTGACCGCTGAGACAAGAACATGATCTCAAGCTTGTATTTCCGCGTTAGCCTCGCAACGTACGATCGAGTCTCGAGTCCTCAACCTTGCCGCTGCTCCCATATAAAGCGTCGACAGCTCTCTCATAGTCATAGGAAATTCCACAATTGACAGAGTCCAAGCCATCTTTTCTAGGTCTCTGACATGCAATATCCATGGACATCACCTCTCAAAACACCATGAAAGCCGCAAGCAGGATAACTCAAACCCCCAGAGCTCTGAACTCTAGTCTTCCGCCATCTTCTCCGTCATCCTCGTATCCGTGCAGAATACCCCATCGCCAGGCCCCATTGCACGATCTGAACAACCTGCAAGCCGCTAGTACTCACTCTATCTTGGCCTGGGAAGATCTGCCTCACAAACTTGTCTCGCCTTAAAATCCCTGTCTTCATCTGAGTCTCATTACCTAGTTTCATATCAAGGGGCTCACACTTTACAGAGAATTTATTCAGTCTTCTTACGCGAGGTCAAAATTACCCAGAAAGCGTCGCACATTCCTACATCAAGACCGAGAGCTCAGTGTGCAAAGGTATGAGTATTATCAAAGACACAGGGACACCATCCTCCCATCATTACAAAGAGCCACGCGCGCCCTCACCGATTCCTCCCCGCCAACAAAGCAACGGCCAAGACGACTCCCATGCTGAAATGCCAAATGCCAAAAAAAGGTCCCTAATCCAACAAAACTCCTTGCCTTCCCAAACTCCACTTTCCATGCATGGTGCGCGCGTGTGAACTCGAATCCATTCTCATGCCCGTCACTCCAACTTCAAAACTCAACATGCAACACAGCAGAGTTCCTCGACGATCGAGGCCGCAGTGTATCAATGATTGACGTTCTCCGAGATGAGAATCGACGCTGCCTTGCTTCAACAGGCAGTACTGGCTCAGCATCCGCCAGCATCTTGGCTGCCTGCTGGGCCTGGGACTTGCGACGACGTCTCTCCTTTGCTTCCAACAAGCGCCTCCTGACCCCGGAGCTCTAATCCCACGAGACAAGATCTTTCTGCTTTCCGCTTTCGTCCAGCTCAACCATCTCGGGCGCGAACTCGCCCCGCTCGTCCTCCGCCTCGAGGTCGTCCAGCTCCACCTCAACCTCCTCGCCGTCCTCGAGCCTCATCTTGCCCTTGCGGAGGTAGTCGCTCCGGATGTCCCAGCCGAACTTCCAGACCCAAGCTTCGAGGTCTGAGAAAGCCTGGCCGACGAGGGCCTGCTCGGGCGTAGCGAGTGAGTTGAGCGCTAGAAGCAATTCGTTGAGCCGGCGTTTGTAAACGATCAAAGCCATCCTCAGATCCCGAGCGTAGGCTGGACCGTAGTCAAGGACGGAGCCGTCGAGATAACGCTCGTTGTACACGAGCTGGGCAGTAATAGTCTGTAAGAGGGACCGAGCGAGCTCAGGGCGCTTGAGGGGTAACGTGTAGGCCTTGAGAACGAGAGCCACCAGCATATGCCACCATTGCTGGATGCAGGCTTCGTTGCCCAGGTGCATGCCGACGAGAAAGGCGAACTGTAACTCGCCCACAATATCGTCGTCGCTGATGCCCGCCGTGAGGAGGTGTGCAGTCGCATCAACTGCCTGCTCCGTCCGCGCCGAGCCGATACTTTCCACGTCGTACGTTTTCGCGGCCTGGCTGAATGTAAAGTTGAGCTCGGTGCTCGCCACGACGTTGGGAATTCTCTTCTCGAGCTCAACTTCGGCGGGCAGCATCAGTGCGCCATTCACGCGGTCGGAGGTGTGCACCGCCCAGTCGCCAGCCTGGCGCGCCGTGATCCTGCTGAGCAGACTCGGAGAGATGGCATTAGTGAGCTGCTGCCAGATGTTGGTGCTCCTTGCGAACTCGGGGTCCGGGCTCTGTGACTGCGGCAGCGAGGCGGACGCGGCAGGCTTGACGTTGGCGTTGAGAGCGCGAAACTGGTAGGGCGCTAGTTTGGGGTAGACGTCGCGGATGTTATCCTTTTGGAAGCGGGCCTCGACCTGGCTGGCGGGCTCGCCGACGACCTCGTTGAACTTGTCCCACTGCATGACGTGAATTTTCTCCGTGGCCGAGCTCACGATCCAGAAGCCGCAACGGGTGGTGCTGGCTTCGGTCTCTGAGACCCAGAAAAAGTGCGGGCCGGGCGGGATGTCTCTGACGCCGAAAAACTCGCGGGCAGTGAAGGAAACTGAGTCGTAGCCGATGGTAAAGGAGGCGGGCAGGTCCATGATGAGAACGATGTCGCCGCCACCGAGTGCGTGCTCATGCTGCAGGTGGTCCTGTGGGACGAGGTCCT